ATTTTTATTTCTTTGTAAAATAGCATATAAATTTAATCAGTGTATTACTGATGCCTTGTTTAAGTGACTGGATTTTGGACTAATTTAGGAAACCAAACTTAGAGAGTTTACAGAGGGTTTATTGAAGTAGAAAACAAAGGGTGATTTTAATGATAGCATTTTCCAGAATGTTTGTGTCTGGTAAGCTTAACATACCATCGGATGGCAAGTAGTCTGCTCTGTTTTTCCCCCTTCTTTTTCTTAGTAAGAGACACCTTTTGAAAACCTTTCATGCAGCCATGGACCAGTGGAATATCTTTGGGAATTTCAAAGCATCCCTCTGATCATGTATTTATCTCAGGAATGCTGTGTCAGAAATCACAACTCTCCTCATATCTTAAGAATTATCAACTTCCAAGCAATAGCTGGAAAGTTTAGAGTAACAGCTCCATGAGTGAAACCTTGCTGAAAGGCTGCCAGGTTGTGGGCCTTTGTGAAGAGGAAGGTGTTTGTGTTCATTCTCATGCCAACATTCTTGTTCTTATCTAATTTGAAGATCCTCTCTGGTGATTAGTGGATGCCAGGGATTTATCTTGATAAAGTTCAAGGGCTGGTCTGGCTTTTCAGCTGGATCCTTAGGGACTAAAGTGCTAGTCAGAAAATGCCTTTCTCCCTTCCTGAACTATTTTTTATGTTAAATAAAATATCATTTATGTGGAGATTTGTGATATTTGAAACATATTCTGCAGTGGAATTTTTGAATCTTAGTGAGCCTGAAGACCTGGTTGCTGTTTGCTAGTCAGTAATGAATTGGACAAACTTTCAAAAAAGGCTTTCTAGTTTAGGTTAAAAAAAAAAAAAGTATTTTCACCTGCTTTGTATGGGGCCTTAATAAAATTACTTCTTTCCCATGTGTGAAACAATATGTGGTACTAGCTTCATTGGTTGTTGTAAATATAAATGTTGCAGTTTGTGAATGTCCTAAGTACAATGGCTCACAAATTTTAAGTATTGATTAAAGCTATTGAGTCCATAAAGAAAAAAATGATGTTATATTTTATCTTCTATTATTTCATTTTTAATCAGCAGTTGGAAAGCCATCTTATATAACTGGTTATCTCTCTTCCAAATTCTTTATGCCATATAGCTTGAAATACTTTTTGTTAAAATTGATGTTAGATATTAAAAATTAATTATTTGTTTTATTAACATTAAAAAGGATTTCTTTTCATTTCATAAATAGAAACTTAAGCTTTAGTCTGAGAAAGATACCAGAGATATCCTTACCATATTGCCTGGCATATAGACTCTCAAGGTTTTGTTAAATATGTGTTGTATTTTCCAAAGCATTTTATTAAAAAAAAAAGTGAAATATCTGGTCCTTGCAAGATCAAATTATGTAGTAGTAAATTTAAATTTGTAGATTTTTTTTGAAGTGTTAATGTGCCTGGGAAGGGAGTAGAAGATGTCCCAAGTACTTGTATCCCTGCCACCCATCCTGGAGATCTGGGTGGGATTCCAGGCTTGTGGCCCAGCACCGACTGTTGCATCCATCTGGGGACTGAACCAGTGCATGGAAGATCTCTCTGTCCTTTTATTTTTCTCTCTGTAATTCTGCCTTTCAAAAAAATAAATGAAGATTTTAAAAAAAAATCTGGTAGGAGACCATGCTTGAGATATATCATTCCTGAGAATATGTTAAAGATCTTGGATAATAAGTATTTATGACTGAAAGCACTTTTAGCAGCAGTAGCCTTAAGGACCAGAAATGACATTGTGTTCTGTTGTATCTGATTAATCCTGTCATCCTGGACAAATTAAGATTGTGCATATTGTGGAGCATCTACAGTCTACTTTTTTCTGTTACCAGTTTTCCAAAGTTTAATTATGAAAATATTCAGGCTTATAGAGAAGTTGAAAGAATTAAACAGCAAACACCCTGAGATGCATCACTGAGGTTCTACAATTGGCCTTTAACTCTGTTTGCTTCATCATGTAACTTTCTGTATTCCATCAATCTTTTATTAAATTTTGTAAAGTTTATTTATTTATTTGAAAGGCAAAGTGACAGAGAGAGGGAGAGGGAGAGGGAGAGGGAGAGAGAGGGGGGGAGAGGGAGAGAGAGAGAGAGAAAAAGAGAAAGAGAAAGAGAAAGAGAGAGACAGAGACAGAAAATCCTTCCATTGGTTCACTCCTCAGATGTCCACAATAGCTTGTTGAGGCCAGGACAAAATCGGGAGCCTGGAGCTCCATCTGGGTCTCCCTTATGGGAAACAGGGACTCAGGCACCATTATTTGTTGCCTCTCAGTGTGCACATTAGCAGGATGTGGATTGGAGGAAGGTGTGGGACTTGATCCCAGGCACTCAGATGTTGGCTGCAGGTTTCCCAAGTAGTGGTTTAACCATGATGCCACAGTGCTTGCCCTCAATTTTATTTTTTGTAATGCATTTCAAAGGAAGATGCAGACATCAGTTTACTTCACTCTTACACACTTAAGCCTTCAGTACTCTACCTATAGATTAATACAGGTTTTAATGTAAAATTTACATGCAGTGAAAGGCACAAATCTTAGGCATAACCATTTGATGACTTTGGAGACATTCATACAATTTTGTAAATCAAAACCTCATTAAGATATTGTCAGTCTTAAAAAACCCCCATTTTCCAACCAATTCTTATCCTAATCCTTCAGAGACAGTTATTACTCTGAATTTTTTTTTCTGCCATAGACTACTTTTGACTATTGTAGAACTTCATGTCAAAGTTAGCACAAAGTATGTGTATTTTAGGATAATGTTTCTTTTATTCCATATAATGCTTTTGAGTTTCATCCATGTTGTTAGGCTTATCAATAGTTTACTTTTTATTTCTGACTCGTATTCTGTTTTATAAGCATGCTATCTTTTAAAGATGCTTATTTTCTTGTACAAAGGACATTTGGGTTCTTTCTGCTTTGTGGTTATTGTAAGTAAAGCCTCTATGAATATTATTGTACACATTTTTGTGGATATAGGTTTCTTTGGGGGAATTTCTAGGAGTGGAATTGGAATTTTTGGGTAGGTATATGTGTTAAATTAATAAAAAGTTACTTATTTGAGAGGCAGTGAGACACAGAGAATACTTCCATCCACCAATTCTCATCCCAAAAGCCCTCAACAGTTATGGGCCAGGGCTGGGCCAGGGCCAGCTGAAGCTGGGAGCTGGGGACTCAGTTCGGGTCTCTCACTTGGGTGGCAGTAACATAAGCACTTGAGCCACCACTGCTGTCTCCCAGGGTCTGCATTAACAGGAAACTGGAGTCAGGATCCAGAGTTGGGCAGTGAACCCAGCACTTGGATGTGGAACATCGGGTGTTTTAATTACTAGGCCAAATGCCTGCCCCCTGTCTTAGATTTTGATCATAAGAAAATAAGTTTGACATTTATTTGTATTTCTGTCACTTTTATTGTACTTGCCTTTTGTATGAGTAAAGTAGAGCTTGCTGGTTCATTATTTTATATATAAATCTGAAAGTAAATTCTATATTTCTTTTCTTCAAAAAATAGGTTGCTAGAGGATAGAGATTTTTGTAAACAAAGGACTTGTAAATTTCTGTGTGGAATAGGAAATGCACAAATTATATTGTGTGCTGTTTTCTGAATGTACCAGCAGCAGTGTGAGCATGCGTGTGTACCCCGCCCCCACGCACATCATATCTACTCTCCCTTAAGTCAATAATCTTCATCTGATATCAGCTACCATGGTTTAAACACAGCATTCTGGACTTGGGGCTCAGGTGGCTGTTGCTTCTATTTTTTAGTGTATAGTTAACATTGGCAGTCACCCTTATAATGATTTGACACCAGCTACCCTCAAGTACATTGAATAAGCCATGCCTAGCACAAGAGAACTTGATTTAATTGGCAACAGTATTTGCCCTCACATGATAGGCACTGAAGTAAAACGGAACCTATTTCACTCGTGTTATCTCTTTTTCAAATAACAACAAGAAAAATGTATTCCTAAAATATTAGAATTACATAATTTTCACTTTTGAATACATTTATTTGGATCAAGTACTTAAGTAACTTTGTTTAAAAGCTAATACTTTTTAAAGCTATTAAGGGAATACTTGCAGCTTGCAGTTGCAGTATTGTCAACAAAAGATGTGATTAAATAAATTGAATGTTGAAGACTTTAGGCTTATGCTTAACACCAGGTAATTAAAAGTAAGCACTGCTGTGGGAGTGCATTATATATCAGCTGTCCTCTTTACCTCATTAACTGGGTTTTTGCATGTTTATGGAGCTAACTTCAATTAAAAATGCCTTTTAAGTTATGCCTAACAAGGTCTTTTAGTTACTATTTTGATATAAAGTATTACACTGTAATTGAAATTGGAATATTATGAATACCTGTGTTTATATTATATACAAGCTGAACAACTTTGATTCTATGATATATTTGCATCTAGTTTTTTTACTTATACATTTTTCTATGTGATATTATCAAAAGATATAGTCTCTGAGGCAAAAAAGAAAAACTTTGGTTGCGTTTATGTTGGGAAATTGTTTATGTCTACATTTTTCACCCTAGATTTCTTATAGTTTATTATTTCAAATTAACAATGTTTTAAAACCCTTGCTGAACCATGTTTGGTTTTTTGCTTCAATTCTAAGGTTGCAAAAAAATTAATTAGTTTTCCACTTGAGGGCCAGAATTTCTTTTTTATATACTTTTGGCTATATATTATTTATTAGGTAATTAAAGATGATTCTTCATTTAAAAAATACTAGGTGGTAAATTTAAGCTAATATATCAAGAGGACTTATATATCCTTAGGGCACTATCCTTGGTCAAAAAAAATTAAAAAGCACATAATTAGGAACAGCATTGAAGAGATTTCATATTGGAAAAATATTCTTAATTGTATATCAAAATAGAGATAAGGAACAAAATTAGAAGTTAACATCTTAGTTTCTTTTTGAAATTCACACAAGCAGTCTTCTGTATTGATATTATTTTCTGTCTTTATTTCAGAAGTGTCATTGTTGCAACAAAAAAAGCAGCAGTCTTACCTTCCACCCTTGCTACGAGTGTACCTGCCAATGCTGTGAGTGTGGTTTCCTCAGTAGATTCAGCCCAGGCCTCAGATGTGGGTGGAGAATCACCAGGTGTGTTACTTCTCAAGGATTTCATCTAGTTTTAAGACCTTATTTTAGCTAACCTTGGATTTCTGATAAAGTTGTTAGTCACGTAAAAAGCATTGCACTTTTATATCATACCATTGCTTACTGATTTATGGAATAAATCTGAGTAAAATAAAAAAATTAAATCAAGGAATTAAATATTTTCTTTAGTCAGACCTAGCAGTATGTGATGGATTAGATGCTGCTAGTTAGGTGGATGAAAACATGAGTGAATGATTCATAAAGATACTTTTTGCCTTTTGTCTTTCGTTGCACTTAAAAAGAGATAGCTAGATAGCTAGAAGATAGAAGATAGATAGAGGTTTTAATAAGAAAGGGAGGGGCTGGCGCCGTGGCTCACTTGGTTAATCCTCTGTTTGCGGTACCAGTATCCCATATGGGGGCCAGTTCGACTCCCAGCTACTCCTCTTCCAATCCAGCTCTCTGGTATGGTCTGGGAAAGCAGTAGAAGGTGGCTCAAGTGCTTGGGCTCCTACACCTGCATGGGAGACCTGGAAGAAGCTCCTGGCTCCTGGCTTTGGATCAGCACAGCTCTGGCCGTTGTGGCCACTTGGGGGGTGAACCAACGGAAGGAAGACCTTTCTCTCTGTCTCTGCCTCTCACTGTCTGTAACTCTACCTCTCAAATAAATAAATAAAAATCTTTAAAAAAAAATAAGAAAGGGAATAGGGAACTGGGTAGTATGGCACTGTGGGTTAAGCTGCCCCCATGAATCCAACATCCCAAATAAGTTCCAATTTAAGTCCTGGCTGCTCTGATTCCTATCACGCTCCATACTAATGTGCCTGGAAAAGCAGTGGAAGATGGGCAAATACTTGGACCCCTGCTACGCACATGGAAGACCTGGATAGAGTTCAAGGCTCCTGGCTTTGGCTGGTCCAAACCTGACCATTGTGGCCATTTGGGCAGTAAATCAGTGAATGGAAGATCTCCCTTGCTCTCTCTCTTTCTTTTTGTTAACTCTGCATTTTGTTCATTTGGTGCAGCAGTTAATCTTGGGATGCATTGGGATGGGATTTGCTGAAAGATTGAGTGCAAAGTGCAGAGTTCTCATATTTTTCCAAGCCTTTATCCTTAGTTTTGAATATTATTAACTTCTTGCACTGATATTTAATGTTACATTTTTCCCATGTTAGAGGGAAATATGAAGGAAAATAAGTTTAGAATAAAATTTTTCGTGGTTTTAATTGTTCCCTTACACTCTCATGCCCCTTTTTTTTATATTGTAGCAGGAATAATTTGCTAATCTGTTTACGGTAGTGTACACACTATCTACTCTTCTATCCCCATGCAAAGTCCTTAAAAAAAAACAGCTGATTATTCTAGACCAGCTTCTTTGCCATTTTTGGAAAAAATACAATAAGTATTAATGTCTATGAAACTCTTTACATACTGTCTTTTTAATTCAGTAATCGTGAATTCCTCAGTAAATTCCAAAGCAAATGTAGGAATTTCTGAATATACTGCTAAAATATTAAAATATTAAAATATTTTTGTCTTGTTTTGACTATATTGCCATTTAATTTCAACTTATAGAACAAAATAGGACCCTCTGAATACTTTTAAGTGTAGTTATACTTCAGATTTTTTTAAAAGTATTTTTTTTTTGACAGGCAGAGTTAGACAGTGAGAGAGACAGAGAGAAAGGTCTTCCTTCCATTGGTTCACCCCCCAAAAGGATGCTACAACCGGCGCACTGTGCCCTTCCAAAGCCAGGAGCCAGATGCTTCCTCCTGGTCTCCCATGGGGTGCAGGGCCCAAGCACTTGGGCCATCCTCCACTGCACTCCTGGGCCACAGCAGAGAGCTGGCCTGGAAGAGGGGCAACCGGGACAGAACCGGCGCCCCAACTGGGACTAGAACCCGGAGTGCCGGTGCCACAGGTGGAGGATTAGCCAAGTGAGCCATGGCACCGGCCAAAAGTATATATATTTTTAAGATTTATTTATTTGAGAGGCAGAGTTAAAGAGAGAAGGAGAGAGCGAGAACGAGAGAGCGACTGGTTCACTTCCCAAATGGCTGCAATGGCCAGAGATGAGCTGATCTGAAGCCAGGAGCCAGGAGCTTCTTCTGGGTCTCCCACATGGGTGCAGGGGCCCCAGCACCTGGGCCATCCTCTGCTGCCCTCCCAGGCCATAGCTGGACTGGAAGAGGAGCAACCGGGACTAGAACCCGGCGCCCATATGGGATGCTGGCACTGCAGGTGGAGGATTAACCAAGTGAGCCATGGCGCCGGCCCCCCTGGATAGTCAATGTTAACTGATAAATTTTTGTTTTCTTGTTAGTGGATTATCTTGATTTAAATTATTTGCCTTTTTGTTCTTCCTCCTGTGTCCATCAAGATTTGGGGAAAAAAATTATTTGAGGATGAATTGGTGGTGGTTGTAATGCTGAGTGGTGCAGTTTTATTCTTATCTGAGTAAGATAGGGATTAGTCTTGGTTTAGTCTTGGATTATTTTCTTTTTGTGAAAGGACTCCTACGTGTTCCTATGCATCAAGACATTTTCACCATGAAATGACTACAATGCCGAATTTTATTGGGAGTCAGCAACAAGAAATGGTCACTTAAATTCAGTAATGTATTATTGGTTAATAAAAAGTTTACCTGACAGTTTATTACTATAAGTAGAAATTTCCTTGGAAGATCCCTGTGAATATAAAACATAAAATCTGAGTATTATAGAAAAATTTAAGCTGTTTGGAAATTTTGATTTAATAATGGGATTTCTAAATTTTATAAGTGCTACAGTTATAGAGAAAGTAACACTGGATAGACCTCAGACCTAGAAAAATAATTATAGGCTGTAAACTTCACAAAAGATCAAAGTTTTTTTTATTTAAATATTCTCACTAAAATAATTTTATAGCAAATTAAAATTAAAAAATTTGAACATTTGCATCTTAAGCTGTATATTAAAACTATAATATACAAAGCTGTTTCAGTACACAGATACCACATTAAGCTTGAGAAACATGCTAGCTTCTCAGCATTTTGCAACAGAAAAATATAATTTAATAGCAGCAATGGTAAAATACTTTCCTTAGAGGGGAAGGTATATCTTTTGTGTATGAGTGTTTTCAAAGGAAATAAAATACAGGGTTTTATGAAACATATCAAAATCTGGAGGCCAGCGCTGCGGCTCAATAGGCTAATCTTCCGCCTGCGGCGCCGGCATACCGGGTTCTAGTCCCGGTCAGGGCGCCAGATTCTGTCCCGGTTGCCCCTCTTCCAGGCCAACTCTCTGCTGTGGCCCGGGAGTGCAGTGGAGGATGGCCCAGGTGCTTGGGCCCTGCACCGCATGGGAGACCAGGAGAAGCACCTGGCTCCTGCCTTTGGATCAGCGTGGTGCGCCGGCCGCAGCGGCCATTGGAGGGTGAACCAACGGAAAAAGGAAGACCTTTCTCTCTGTCTCTCTCTCTGTCAAAAAGAAAAAAAAGAAAATATGGAATTCTAAGTGATTCATAAGCAAAGATTTAATTACCTAGAATATAATATATGCTTTTGATATGTTAATATGCCATCATTCTATTAAATATGCTATGGTGTTTCTTCACCATGCTGTAAAGCATAAATGATTCAAAGAAAATTGAAGATAGCCTAGGAAAGGAACTAAGGAACTTAGTACATTGGTCTTTGATGATTTATATCTTGAGTATTTGCTAATGTGCAAAATTTACTAATTTGACTACTTGCCAGAATATCAGGCTCCTTTTTTGTTTTTTAGTTTATCAGAGGCATGAACATTATAACTTGTATGTGTTTTTTTAATGTTAGGGCAAAATGTTTGAATCAAAACAATCTTTGTTTAATATAGTATTTAGCCCAAGAGGCTTATCTTTACTCACGTACTAAAAGTTTCACTTATGTAATGAGAAACTCTTAGTAGGCATATAAACCATCTCTCACAGAATTAACTGGTGATGAGGAGAGAATACAGTGTAACGGTAGCTAAGGGATGAAAATTGGCACTTGTTTTGATGTTTCTTTATTGCAAGACACGTTAGTTATTTAGGCCCTTAGGGACCTGAATAAGCAGTTGGCTTCTCCCAGGATAGATGCTAGGAAGATGACCCATTTGTGTTTTCCTTTTTGTTCTCTTGAATGTCTGGAAAACTGTCAGTTTGGAGGAGCCAGTTTATCAGTGCAAGGATAAGTAAAAGATAAGTCAGTACCATCCCACATGTTTGGAAGTAGCTTCTGCGTTTATGTGTGCACCATCTGTTGGACATTTTAATGTTACATTGATTTGAAACATTTTTCATAAGCTTACATGAGTTGAAACAATGCAAAATATATTTGGGAACTATGTTTTCCATCTGGCAAGAATGAAGGTCAACATGTTGTAAAATTACTGATACCTTTAGTTTATTCTTTCAGGTAATTTCTTCTTTTCCTACAACTGTTGCTGGTTAATTTAGTCATCCTTGTTGGTCTGGTGTTGTCTTACGATTTAAAAAGAACACTTTCTACCATATTCTTTTTTAGGCATTAAATTTGACATTTTTTTGGAAATAGTTTTTGTTGTTGTTTTATTTAGATCCAGCATTTTTCCTTCTCTTTTTCAGATTTATAATATCACTTTGGCTCATTAAAATTTAGGTCTATTAGCACAATAAAACCCAATTTTGTTTTATAGCTACTATTTAAGACCTTACACAAACATGTTTTGGAGGTCATTTTTTCTTCTACTTTTAGGTAGGTGGAACCTTATGTTCCTTCTTATTGACTTCATAAAAATTCAGGAAAAACTATCAATACTACTTACTGAGAAAATATCTGACAAACTCAACACAAAGATGATCTTCAACAGCCAGATTAAAAAAATAAACCCGAGTAATATTTCATTAATATAAGTCAGTGTCTAAACATTGGTACAAGAATCACATTGCTGTCAAGAATTTAGAACATTTTCACTGAGTATAATAAAAATGATGGTTCCCTGAAGTATTGCACTGAGTGTTGT